TGCTTCGAGCGGATAATGCAGAGATTCGGCAGAAAAGCGGTCTACATCGTGATCGGCGACGGTGTCGAAGAGGAGCAAGGAGCAAAAAAGGTACTTCTTCGATCCCCCACGCTGCCATTTCCTGGTCTTTGGGGCCTGCCCCCTGGCTTCCAGGTCCGTGGATTTCTGCCACCTCCCCGCAGCTGGTCGGGTCCTCGCCCTCCCAGGCTCTGCGCATGCCCTTCCGTTCCCACTGCAGATTGCAGAGGCATCCTGAGTAATTTCCTTCTGCAAATCCCCTCATGCCTTTGCTGCTGCCCCTGGTAGCCCTGGACAGTTTCTAGGACGACTGCTCAGGAGCCCAGAGACGCTCCGTCGGGGCAGGCCTGCAGGGGCCGTGCACGTGTGTGTGCATTATTTAAGACCTACCGATCATATGTTCCAGGAACCCTTCCCAGTTAATAAAGACAGCATTAAGCTAATGAAAAAGAAAATCCCACATTTGTGATCTCAGGCCGTGAGCAGAGGGCAGGGGGGTTCTGGTGGCCGCAGCTCTGTTCTTGGAAGAGAAACAGCTGCCAAAGTCTGGTCTGGCCCCGTCAACAGTGCCCCAGAGAGCCTGCCACCTCCCACCCAGAGGCCTGGGAAGCGGATTGTTAATGTCCTGGAGCTTAATTTGAGGGACCTGGTTTCCCCTCTCCCTCTCTGGCAACAGATCCCAACGAAATGCAAAACTGTTTAAGGTCTCCATGGATGAAACTCAGAAAAGGAGAGGTCCCTGAGGTCCTCGGAGGGGAACTTGGACAAGGGGAGTGCAGAAGCTTTTGCATACGCTGTTCCCACCACCTGGAAGGCTCCTGCCCATTCCCTGCTAGTCAGGGACTCCTCCTTTAGGCCTCAGTGACACTCCCCTGACCAGTTTCTTGCGACTCTTTCCTCAAAATGCTCATATTTTTTCCCTAGGCATTGTCCTCTCTTAGCATGGAACAATGACGTGTGAGTGGCGGCTTAGACACCCTCTCTGGCTAGCGCATGAACTCTATTGGCTGAGCACCTACCCCGTGCCTAGCCCTGTTCAAATGCTAGAGGCCTTGCTGACCTTCCTCGCCCAGCTCACAGGCTGGGTTCAGACCAGAAGCACACGTAGCGGAAGAGCCCAGGAGAAAGATTCAGCAGGGGCTGGCGACAGAGGGCCCCTCGGGTAGACCCGGTCACAGGTGTCTGTAGCCACCAAGGCGGGCCTCTCTGAGAGGTCTGAGCAAAGATGGGAAGAGAAGAGGGTGTGAGCCAAGTAGACGTCCGGGGAGGGCATTCCGAAAGGAACCAGGAAGTAGTTCGGAGGCCTGAAGGCTGGAGCCAGCGTGCCTGCAGCAGGGTCAGGAGAGAGGGGGAGGTGGGAGGGGAGGCACCTGGGCCGCTGGGAGGGCCTCGGCTCTCATTCCTGAGCCCTTCTTTAAAGCATCTTTAACATAAAAAATGAATAGATTCAGAGGGGGAAGCAGAAACCCGCAGTGCTGCCCAAGGACATGGCCAGAACAGCCTGATCACACGAGTAGTCCTTGCTCTGCCACGTGGGGCCGTGGGGCCTCAGGCAGATGGATTCCTTTTCCACTGAATGAGAAAAATAAAGGACCTGTCTAGGCTGGCTGCAGAGGTTACACCCAGTGAGCTGGTCTCAGTCTCCGGGCTTTCTTACTGCCACTTGCCGGGGCTGGGAGGAGGGCAGGGAGGCTCGCTCTACCTGTGGGATCTGGGGAAAGGAAGCAAGACCAGCTCACTAATTCACAGACTCACCGATTCTTTGGTTTCTCAAAGCCCCTGAGAGAAGCTTGGGTCTGAGCTGGGGCTGAGGGTATAGACGGAGCAGCCACCCAAGGGGCCCGGCTGGGGGATCTCAGCAGAGTCGGTGCTGCAGGGATCTGTGGAATGTGGTTTGAAGCATCAGAGATGCTGAACGGGAGCTCACACAACAGAGGGGTTCTCTGTCTCTCCCTCTCTCTCCTACAAAACACCTGTAAGCTGCTAGGAGGGCTGTGAGCCAGGCTCCTTCCATCCTGCTGCTGCCCCAGGCCCAGGCACTGCCCCTTCCATTCCAGGATGGGTCCCCCACCCGACACCTGCATGGGGAAGGAGAAACAGGAAAATGCCTCTCCCTCTAAGGATGTGGCTTCATACAGGCACTGCTACTCTGATCCCATTGGCCAGGTTTTAATCACATGACCACACCTTGCTACAAAGATAGCTGGGAGATGCAGCCTTTATTCTCAGCCTCCATGTGCCCAGCTAAAAATAAGATAAAAGGGGAAAAGGGAGGTTGGCAGGTTAGTACTCAGGGTGCTGACCCTGAGTACTAACTGATGTCAGTCCTCAGAGACCCTCTGTGAAGTGGTTGTCATTACACGCCATTTTATAGAGTGGATTCGAGACTCAGAGAGGTTAATTAATCTGCCTAAGGTCACACAGCTGACACAGGCAAACCTGCATGTGTCTTGCTCCAAATGCTTGGGCGTTCCAGCTTGGGTTTTCCAGTTCACACATTCCTAACTAGTTATTCAAGAGTGGATCGGGAACCAGCAGTTAGCGTAATGGCTATGTTGCTGGACTCCCATGTAGTCGATTGCGGTTCGCGTCCCGGACCCGGTGGCTTAAAACTCACGCCAGGTGCGTGTGTGTGCGTGCCCCAGCTCCCAAGTCTGTCTGTCCGGTGAGCACACGCGCCCTATAGCGAAAAAACCTCTCCAAATAAATAAATAAAGATTGGATCCACCAAAAAAGACTAGGCTCACCCCCTACACACAAATCAAGCTCCCCTAAAAAAAAAAATCTCTCTGCCAGCATCTGACGCAGAGACCCAGCCCATTAGTGAGAACTGCTGTCGGCCGGCAGCTCTCTCAGCCTGACGAATGGGACTCATTAGCCCAGGATGCCAGACACCTGAGCCACGTGAAATATGGCGCCAGGACAAGGGGCTTTGCCTGCCCTGCTGACGGTGTCGTTAATATCTCCATTTTAGAGGGTCATTTGTCTCCACCTCTGCACGAGTGATAAATCCACGGGCAGTGTGGAGCCGTCAAGCTGAGGGTGGAGGCGGCTGAGACGTTCTGGCCCACCTTTGCTCCTTCTCTCCCAGGAAAATTACAGTCTTTAAAGCGGGCAAGATTGGCCGGGGGGCAGCCCGAGTCCTGCTCTACAGGGAAAGAAAGCTTTGCCGGGATGAGGCCAGGGCGGGAGGGCTGGGCAGGCGTTAGAGGGATGGCGGCTGTCAGCAGGATGGATGATGGCTCGCCCTTCCCTTGAGCTGGGGATTGCTGAGAAGCCACAGAACAAACGTGAAAAAGATGTGTTCACAGCGGACTTAGCACGAGAAACTTCCTTCCTTCTTTCCTCTTCCTCTTTTCATTCCTCCCACGGATGCTCCTAAGCACCTACTATGTGCAGGAACCATGCGACACAGCTGTGAGCAGGGCCCTTCTCAGAGCCTTTGCTCTTGCTATGGCTTCTTCTTACCCCCCATCTTCACACGGCTCCCCACTATAGGAAAGGAAAAACCACACACATATAGACAGGCACCATGCCACAGCCACTCCACCTGACTGTTCCCAGAGCCACCCTGCCCCTTAAATCCTTGCATCTCCCCCTTTACTATCTGCGCATGGTGGTTAAGGGTGCTGGACTCCCACATAGCCGACCATGGTTCAAGGTTCATACCTAGCAGTTTGCTTTCTCACTTTCTGTCTCTCTCACTCTGTCCCTCTCTGGTCAAATTAAAAATAGATAAGTACATTTAAAAAAGTTTAATAAAAATAATTATTTAAAAAGTCAAAAAGAATTATTTAATTTTATTTACTGTTGTTTTTGCTGTATTTTTAATTTGTTATAGGGCACATGCATTCACCAGAGACAGAGACAGAGAGGGAAAGTAAGAAAGCAAGCCACCAGGTCCAGGACTTGAACTGCAGTCAGCCATTTGGGTATCCAGTGCCTTCGCCACCATGCCACCTGCTGGCCCCTATTTTTCTAGGATTTTTAGAGAGTTTTTGTTGTTGTTGTTTTACTATAGGATGTGTACACTCACTGGAGAGACAGAGAGACAGAAAGCGAGAAGTCACCCCCCAGGAGAGTTGGCCACGCCACCATCCCTTCTCTTCCAGTCTCCTTTCAGGATCTTGGGCACACACATACATGTGCCTGGTGTGAGTTTTAAGCCACTGAGTCAGGGACTCGAACCATAGTTGATTACATGGGAGTCCAGCAATGTGACCCTTATACCATCTGGTGGTCTCAATAAACTCATACTTTAATTCCATTTCCATGAATGTCTTGGAGTCCCTCATATGTATTTAATGTTTTTTCTTTGGATCACTTTTATTTAACACTGAAAACTTGAGGGGGCCAGCAGGTGGCGTGGAGGTTAGGGTGCTGGACTCCCACATGGCCAACCACAGTTTGAGTCCTGAACCTGGCAGCTTGCTTTCTCACTTTCTCTCTCT